ATAATAACCCTCTATTTATGATTCTTTCTACTTTATTTTATATTCCTCATCACTCAACAACACTATAATATGGGCACCCCGCGATAGCCGCGGGGTCCAATGCCTAGTATTTATTTTAAGCACTCAAGCAACACTTCGTATCCTTCTTGTGGCAATCTCGGCCGAAGAAAAGATACCAAAAATACCAGAAAAAAATGAAGAAAAACTTGAAGCCAACGGCATCAAACTATTCTTTCCTTTTCTCTTCCTGGACGATTGCTCTTCAAGATGCTTGAATCAGATCAACCTAGGCAATAAGACAAGAAGACAAAACATTAATAAATTTTTTATTTCCCATCTTAAAGTGCAACGAAGTTTTATTGTGGAAAAAAGAAAAAAATAGAACAGTTATGGCAAGAAAGTAAGGAAAAAATAATGCATAAGGGGAAAAAAGAGGAAATAAAACTGAGAGAAAAAATAAAACCCATTCCTCTCCTTAAAGGGCGACGAAGATTTCCTGCGAAAAAAAAGGAACAAAACGGTTATGGCAAGAATGGTTAAAATAAGGAAGAAATATGCACAAGGGAAAAAAAGGATAATAAAATCGAGGGGGAAAACAAACCCTGTGAGTACATGATTCTCACCTTCCAACACATGAGGGAAAAAAATTAGGGAGAATAAGAGGAGTTCTATTCTCGGACAAAAACCTAAGCAAGCAAAATTGATTAAATTAGATCAGATCAAAGAATGTTTATAGCACAAGAATACTATGGCTCAACTGATTTTTTCACCATCTATTCTCCCGTAACAAAGGGGAGATGGAAGAAGAGGAGAACAGGGAAGTTGAATTTGATGGGGATCTCTTCAGATATCTCATTGACCAAATCTTCGGGAATGCACAATGTATGAGAGAGAGGCTAAAGAATGAATGGGACTGAGTGGTCATCTCAAGTCCATCACTTCAAGAAGGCAGTTTGGAGTGGGTCTGCAGCGGGCAGAGTTGGTGGAGCAGTTCGCTGACTTTCGCCAAAAACGTCGACAGCAAACGGAAGGAAAGGCGAAGGGAAACACAGAAGGAAAGGTGAAAGGGCAAAAAAGTCACTTGCAATGAAGGCAAAGTTGCCACCAATCACCTTGTGCCACGTCACCATCGAGCCAATCCCAGACGCAAGCTTCTCCTTGATAGATTAAGTAAAAGAATGATGTACTTTTCAACCACCCTGAAGTACATTGCATTTGACCAAAAGTAACTTAGTAAAACGTTTCACCAATGTCAGCCGAGGAGAATTAAGCTAAACTTTAGCAGTTGACTAAACTTCCTCCAATGAAACAAGCAATGTCAACCGAGGAGAAATAAGCTAAACTTCAGCTCTGAAGCTGCCACGTGGCAGCATGGGAAGAAGTTACAATAACATCAACTGGAACTTATATTGTAGTTAGAAATTCATGAGTGCTTATTTACTTACCTCTTAGAGAACATTTTCCTATAACAATGGGCACGAATGCAATTGCCATATCTGTGACAAATTTCTACGACAGAAATCACAGGCCCTAGTTACCAATCATTTCCAGCAGAATAGAAACGTAAAGCAAGTCAGTAGCATGTGGGTTAAACTGCCCCCTCAGCAGTTCCCTAGGGTTTCCAGCAGCAAAGGCCACATATATCATCCAAAACCCCGGCAATAGCTGCACCACCAATCAAGGGTCCAATCCAATAAACTGCCTGATTCTTGAAGCTCCCTTCAACAAGAGCACATCCAATAGAGTATGCCGGATTCATTGATCCGCCGGTGAAGGACCCTGATGCCAAAATATTGACACCTGCAATCAATCCGATCGCCAAAGGTCCAATGGCTTCAAAGGGTCCACGGTTTTATTTGACTCGGGCAATGAGATTAATCCGAGGTTTTCCATCCTTTCTCCCTTCTTCCCTTTTCTTCTCCACGATTTTGGCAAAGTATTTGACTTTTTTTTTTTGGTTAAATGTCAACTTGTATATATGAGTAATAATTACGGTTATGTTTGCACAACAAAATTACAAAAGACTGGCAACTGCCCGGAAGTCATTGTGGGCTTCTCTATTAAGCCACACAAGGAAGGATTGCTTCCACCTAGTTTCTTGAATCAGGTTAATAGCTAATTTAGCTAAACCATGGCTACACATATTCATTTCTCTCCTAATGTAAAAGAAAGTACATTTCCAAAAGGAGCAACTCAGTTGTCTGATGTCTTCAATTAGCATGTCCATTGAGGTTAGGCCTTGACATCCTGTATTGATTCTATCCATAGCAGCTTTGCAATCAGAAAGAATCAATAAAAATGTCATGTTTTCCTCTATGGCCTTGCCCAATGCTGTTCGGATGGCTATAGCCTCCATTTCTGTCGCATCTTTGGCTCCTGAGTGTGGGATAGACCAAGTCACAAGTATCCTGCCATTGTTAACTTTAGCAATAATCCTCACTCCTACTTTAGCTTTGCCTTAGCTCATTCCAGCATCCGTGTACATGATATTTTTATGTTGTTCCATCTGTCCAACTAGCATGCAATGCCTATCTCCTAGCTGAGAAATCTCTTCGTTGGCCCTCTTAACATCTCTTCCAGCCTCATCATATTCCATCCATTCCTCCATAGCTTTTTTGGATGCTTGGTGCCCCTCCTTCAGTGCTTGGTTAAAATTTCACTCATTCCTTGTCTTCCAGATTTGCCAGAGGAAGTTGGCTGTGATTTCAATGTGTTTATTCCCATCATTCCTTGATCTAGCTTCCTGCATCTGCTCCCACCATTTCCAAAAGTTCCAACTATGATCTCTGATATTGTCCCATGAAATAGGAAAGGTTGCCCAAGCTTGCTCTCTTACCTTGCACTTCAGTAAGGCATGTTCAATTGTTTCTTGCTCTTCCCCACAGCACTTACATAAAGGATCCCCCTTGCCAATCCTTCTAAAAATTTCCTCGTTAGTGGGGAGGATGCAATGGAGACATTTTCACAGGAAGTGTTTGATTTTGTGCTGGATGTTCAGTCCCCACAATTGATTCCATATCTTGGACCTTTCTTTGTTTGTACTGGAGTTTGTTTGCGTTCTATTCATCTCATTCATCTCCTTGATTCTGTTTTTGGCCCTTGCATACCCGGATTTAGTGGAATAGGACCCATTTGCGGTGTATCTCCACTTGTATCTGTCTTTTTTTGAAATAAGCTTAGAGGTATTTGCAAAATCACCTCTGCTTCCTCTTTTGAGAACAGAGCTGTGACGAGGTACTTGTTCCATTGCTTCCCCTTGATCAAATTGTAGACCTTGGTCGTTTGACATCCCGCTGGCTTTGGAGAGGTGACTTTCCTAGTCTTTGAGCATTCTACCCATCTATCCTCCCAGATATCCACTGATGCACCATCGCCTACATGCTTCCAGACCCCACTTTCAAGTAACTCTAATGAGCTATGCAAACTTTGCCAAATCCAAGAAGCTCCAGCCTTTACTTTGGACTAAAAAATATTAGGTTTAGGAAAATACTTGTTTTTCATCACCTTACTCACCAACAAGTTGGGACAAGTAAATAGCCTCCATGCTTGTTTGGCTAGCAAAGCTTCATTAAAGCAAAGTAAATCCCTAAACCCAAGTCCCCCATTCTTTTTCCTTTCCACTATATCAGTTCATTTCTTCCAGTGCATTCTTTTTTCCCCTTGGTCATTTTTCCACCAGAATCTGGCCATCATCCCGTTTAACTCTTTGCATAGGCTCTTTGACAGTCTGAAAACTGACATAGCATAAGAGGGGAGTGCCAAAGCAACAGATTTGAGTAGCACCTCTTTCCTTGCATTACTCAGTAGTTTGCCTTTCTAGTTCTGAATCCTTGACATCATATTTTCTTTAACAAACTTGAACACACTATTTTGGACCTACCAACAACTAATGGTAGGCCCAAGTACTTCTCTTGCGACACCTGTAGGATTCCTCCTAGTTTCTGCATCACCTCAGCCTTTTCTCTCTCGCTTGAATTTTTGCTAAAGAAGACTGCTGATTTGTTGATATTAACTTGCTGTCCAGAAGCTTTTCCGTAGCAATCCAAGATTTCCTTTATGTGTCCTGCTTCATTACCATTAGCCTTACAAAAAATTAGAGAATCATCAGCGAAGAATAGATGAGAAACATAGGGGCCCTGCCTTGAGATTTTAACTCCTGTAATTTGGTTGTTTCTGACTACGTTATTTAGTAGGTTAGAAAGGCCTTCAGCACAGAACAGAAAAAGGTAAGGGGAAAGGGGATCTCCTTGTCTAATCCCTCTAGCTGGTCTTACATATCCACGTTTGACTCCATTAACATTGAAAGAAAAAGACACAGTGGAAAGACAGCCATGAATCCATCTAATCCATAGAGGGGCGAAACCCATTTTATAGAGGATGACATAAAGAAATTTCTATTCGACTCTATCATAGACTCTAGACAAATCAAGTTTTATAGCCATGTACCCATCCCTCCCCTCCCTTTTTGAATTCAGCCAATGCATGTACTCATGACTCACCATGACATTGTCTAGAATTTGCCTATTGGGAACAAAAGCTGCTTGGGAATAACTAATGCAGGAGCTAAGAAGAGGTTTGAGCCTATTCACAAGAATCTTCTAGATGATTTTGTATAAAACATTGCATAAGCTGATGGGCATAAAGTAGCCAATGTTCAGGGAGGTGTCTATTTTAGGAATAAGTGTGACCAGGGTCTCATTGATAGCTTTTGAAAGGAAGCCAGTGTGCAAGAAACTTTGTATAGTGTTCATTACATCTATTTTAACGATATTCGATAATCTTTGAAAGAAAATAGGGGACATACCGCCGGGTCAGGAGATTTGTTTGGATGCATGGAGAAAACTGCAATTTTGACTTCCTTCTTTGTTACAGGCAGGGACGGAGCCAGAAATTTATTTTTGGGGGGGTGAAATGTATTAAAAAATTTTTTTGTGACGAAATAAATATATTTAATAAGTAAAATTTAGAATCAATAATTATAAAAATAAGAAAAACATATAATTATACATACCCAAAAATTTGTTATTGATTAACACTTGAAGTATTGGTAGTTGTTGCACTTGAATAACGAAGATGAGGCAATTGCATTCTGCGAGTCTTCATCCGTTGAAAACGCTGCAATATTTGCTCATTTTCAATTGTTGCAAAAATATCCTTCTCGATGTATACAACCAGACAGTCATTCATCCACTCGTCTCCCATTTTGTTGCGCAAATCAGTCTTGACAATATTCATTGCAGAAAATACTCTTTCAACAGAAGCAGTCGCAACTGGTAGAACTAATGCCAACTGGATCAGACGATAAACCAATGGAAAAACTGTATTTTTACCAGTTTTAACCATTTGTTGAGCAAGACTTCCCAAATCTCCAACTTCTGAAAATTGAGGATCGCGTTGCACATTATAAATATAATTTCGAAGTTGAGACTCAAGATATAAATAATCGTTACTTGAGAAGTCTTCAGGATATAAATCAGCAAGACGGAGTAGTTTCTGCACATTGAATTGAGAGAAAGAACTTTTTGGATCAAGACATGCTATGCAACTAAGCAATTCCGTGCTAACTTCCGAGAAACGATTATTCATCTCTTGTATAATTAAATCAACAACCTGACATCACAACAATAATAAAATTAATAACTAAGAAAATCTGCTAACAAGTAACAAATGTAATGAAATAATAATTTCAAAAATAATACCTCACAAAAAATTTCCACGCGATAATGATGAAAATTAGTGATGGTTTGACCTCTGCGACTGCGCCTGGCATTGCCACGGATTGCTATACTGTCTTCCATATCAATCACGGGAATCATATTCAACTCACAAAAATTGTTGACTTCATCTAAAATTATTTGCCATCCCTCTTCCCTAAAGTCTTGCAATTGAGATTTCATAGTATCAATCAAACTCATGGCTTGGACAATATTTTGATCCCTTTGTTGCAAAACAAGTGACAAGTCATTTGTGATTCCCAATAAATACTTCATCAGGTGCAATGCAAAAACAAACTCATAATCATTCATTCTATCAATCAAACCCCTGGCCATACCTCTATTGTCAGAAGTGGTGGCATCATCTTGTATATTTCCCAATATTCCAATCACCGAAGCCCACATAGAGGATAGACGAAGTAATGTTAGATAGTGTGATCCCCAACGAGTATCCCCTGGTCTTGCTAAACTAGTTTCTTGATTTTTGCCTTTTCCACTAATAATATCTCCACTGTCTAAAAGTGTAACAATCTTATCATGTTCTATTTGTCTTAATTGATCTCTCCTTTTACATGATGCTCCAGTTAAATTGACAATCATAGAGACATAGACAAAGAATTCACTGACAATGATATTTCCCTTAGCAACAGCAACAATAACTAACTGGAGTTGGTGAGCAAAACAGTGAATATACATCGCATAGGGATTTTCTTGTAATATAAGGGCCTTCAAACCATTGAACTCACCTCGCATATTTGAAGCTCCATCATATCCTTGACCTCTCAATTTGGATAATGATAATCCGTGTTGCGCGAATAAAGAATCAATTGCATCTTTCAAACAAAGAGATGTGGTGTCAGACACATGTACAATTGCAAGGAAACGTTCAATCACACGCCCTTCTTTGTTCACATATCTCAAAACAACTCCCATTTGCTCTTTCACTGAACTGTCTCGAGACTCATCAACTATTAGGGAAAAATAATTGTCTCCAATATCATTGATTATAACACTTGTGATCTCTGAGGCACAAGCATGTGCCAGATCTTTTTGAATCATTGGAGAAGTTAGTTGATTATTTGCAGGAGCATTTTGATTTACAACCTCAAAAATCTCAGTATTTCGCTGGCTATACCACTCAAACAATTCAAGAAAATTGCCTCTATTTGAAGAACTAGTTGACTCATCATTTCCACGAAAAGCCAATCCTTGCTTCAAAAGAAAGCGGGTCACATCCAGAGCAGCAGTTAAACGGGTGCGATATGCAATATCTATTTCGCGCCCACAAGATCGTAGCACATTTGACACACTATGCATTTGATCTTGAAAACTTTCAAACTGTATTCTAGCATCATTATGGCAACTATTCACAGCTCCAATATGTTCATTAAATCTTTCCATTGCCTTTTTCCAATTATTGAATCCCGTTTTTGTAAAGGCATCCTCTGCATATCGACCTCCCTTATTTTGTGTTTTGAAAAGAAAGCACCAAAAGCAAAACGCCGCATCTTTCGATATGCTATACTCTAACCATACAAACTTTTGATACCAACTATCTTGGAAACTTCTATGTTGTTTACCAAATGATGTTTTTGGATACATATGGCCAATCGGTTGGCAAGGTCCCCTAGTCAAATACTCTCTTCGGATATGGTCTCGAAGAGAAATATCAAATTTCTCAACTGATTTTCGTAATTTCGGATCACTAACAATATCATTTAAATTCAATTCCACACAAGATTGATTTTGAACTGGTTCACTAATATTAGGCTCATTTAGGTTTAAAGAAGATTCACCACTACGGACTCGTTTAGGTTTAAAGAATCTCTCCATTTTCTGTCACAATTAAATAATTGTGGTTAAATTCAATAAAATTATGCAATTCAATAATCAATTAATTTAAAATTCATATAAATAATTCTTTAATTTAATAATAAATTCATATTACTTATATTTCTCAATTTATAAAATTCATTATATAAAATTATCAAAAAGTTAAAATAAGGTACAACTAAATACCCATATAATCTCTAATTCAATCTCATAAATTTTTGAATTTATATTTACATTCAAAATTTCTAATTCACATAATTAATTCTTAAAATTTCAAATATAAAACTATCAAAATTTTAAAAACTAAATACAACCTAAAATCTATACAATTTCTAAACTAATTTCTAATTTAAATTTAATATCATTAAATTTTTTAATGTAATCTTTCAAATTCTTAAATTACATTAACATAAACTAAATAAAAATTAATCTTAATCAAATTAATATCAAGATACTCAAAATTTAAAAATAATTTAAACATATAATTAACAAAAATATAAAGATGAATATTGTAATTTAAACCAAAAAACTAACCTAAAAGATTTATGTGAATGGAATGGTGGAGAGTTGGAGTCTTGGAGCCTTGAATTGAAGGCTTGAAGCAGGATGGTAGAATCTCAACTGAAGCTTCTTGGAGTTCTTGGAGCCTGGCGTCTTCTTCTTGGAGTTGGAGTCTTGTTTGCCCTTTGGCACTGGCGGCGTGCTTTTGCATCAGATGAAGCCTTAGGGCTTCATCTGATGTATTTTTTTTCCCCTCATTATACAAAACGACATCATTCCACTAAAAGTGAAACGACGTCGTTTTGTATTTAGAGGGCAAAAAAAAAAATTCAAAATGAAATGGGTCATCTTCTTCCTCAGCAGTCAGCACGGCAGCGGCTTTCCAGCTTTTCTTCACTTCCTCTGCAGCATTCATGGAGCCATGGAGGATGGTAGATCTGGATCACCGTGGGGGGGCTGGGCTGGGCTGGGCTGGCCACCGGAATCCCCTATATATAGGGGGTTTTCAAGCAGCTTGGGGGGGCTTAAGCCCCCACCAGCCCCCCCTTAAATCCGTGGCTGGTTACAGGTCTGGTAAGTTGCATATTCATCTGCTCAGTGATAGTCCTAGGAATACCATTTAGAATCTCCTTAAAATTTGAAGGCTGTGAAGACGTGAAGAGCTGGTCGTAGAATTGAGCAATTTCCGTTCCTATTTCATCATCAGTTGTGCACCATCCTTCCTAATCCTTCTCAAGTCTAGTTATTATGTTCCTTTTCCTTCTGTTACCCACACAGGCATGGAAGTATGCTGTATTCTTGTCCCCATTTTGAAGCCAACTGGTTCTTGTTCTTTGGCTCCAAATCAGTTCCTTGTGCTTATAGGCCTTAGACAGTTACTTCCAGAGTAAATTGAGGGATACTTTCCTATTAATCCCATCCCCGGTCTTTGCTGCTTGCATCTCTTCTTTGATCCTTTTAATTTCCTTTTGGCTGTTCAGATTTATCGTTTTGCTCCATGCTGAAAGTGCCATTCTGCATTGCTTAATCTTCTTACTAATTCTAAAGCCTCTAGACCCCACTTGGTGTTTACCCCATGCCTCTTTGATTACCCCCTCCACTTTCCTATATTGGAGCCACCTCGGGTCAAAATGAAATCTTCTTTTTGGTTTCCTAAACTTAGGCTCTGTATCCAGTAGGATAACATTGTGATCAGACGCTTTATTGTCAATATGTATCACCCTAGCATCTTTGAATTTTTCACACCATTCTACACTTGCAAGAGCTCTGTCCAACCTTTGTTTAATCTCATCCTCCCCTTCCCATAGGTTACTCCAAGTCCATGGAAGGACTTCAAAGCCAATATCCAGCGGCTCAATATTGTTTGTGAAGTTTTTGAAATTAATGAAAGTCCAATTAGGCCTAGTTCTACCCCCCCCATTTTTCTTTATTAGAGGTAATGTCATTAAAGTCCCCAATTAGCACTTTATTATTACCCCAGATTTTGTTCCTGCTACACAAAAAGTCCCACTAATTTTTCCTGATTTTATCATCAGTACTAGCATAAACAAAAATGCACCACCAATTTCCAGTTTCATTATCAGAATTCAAAAGTAGTTCTATGGTAAACTGGGTAGACAAAATATTAACTATCTTAGTATGATTATTCCAAAAAACTGCCAGACCCCCAGCTTTACCAATGGGGTCAACTAAAACCATCTCCTCATATCCTATTTTCCTTTTAAAGCCTTTCAAAATTTTTTTTTGATTTTTTGTTTCTCATAAAAAGATAATACTAGGGGAGTGGAGGTGAATTACCTCCTTAAGACAGGGAATAGTCAAGGAGCTCCCTGTGCCTCGACAATTCCACGCCACCACCTTCATGTGAGCTTGGGAGGCCAATTTAGACTGGCCTCCATGACCTCAACTTCTGACCCATTTTCACTCGTCTGCTTCCGTTTACATTTCTTGGCCATGACCTTATCAATTTGCATGTGCTTCTCCTCTTCCTCTTCCAATGTTAATCTTCTTTTGGCAGCTGACATTGAACCCTGCTTGTTCATGTCAATCATTGATAAGGGATTCCTATCCATCCGCACTTGTTGACCTTTCCCGTCTCTCCTTGTTACCTTGATCTGCTTTCTTCCTTTGTTTTCCACTTCTATGTTTGCGGGTTGGTGGTTGGTCCTACCTTGGCTTACTGCTGAAAACTTTATGTCTGTGTTCTGGAAAGAGAGGTTTTGTTCTCCTACTTCCCCGACGGTTTCCTCTGTTATGTCCATGTGTTCCATCGAGTCCTGGTTCAACTCTTCTTTGTTTTGGAAGTTTTGTTGGTCCACACTGTTTATTGGGCCTGGGCTTATATTATCCTTGACTTCCCTCCTCCTCCTTGTGCATTCTTCTTGTTTTTTTATGTTTTCAGAAGTGGGTTTTACTGACCTGTTATCCTTCCCGCCCGTAATTGAAAATTGAATTTGTGTCTTTCGTTCCCTCTTTTTTCCTGACAATACAGTGTCATCTTCCCGCTCTTGCCTGTTTCCTTCCAATCTGCCCTTGTCAGGTCTGCTAGTGCTCAAACCCTTCGTCGGATTGATTATGTAGTCCCCTTCAAAAAGGAGTCTTTGGGCAACAGGGTTCATCATCTCTTTTGGTTCACTGGAAACATCCAACCGACTAACCGGCCGAATCTATGTTCTCTTTTTGGGGGACGCTTCTTTGATTTAGGCCCTCATCCATGCCCCAAATTGAGGTTTGGAGTATCCCCTGGTTGTCCTTGTTTTGAGGCTGCAAGATTTGTCACTGTGCGCGATTAATTCACATCCATAGCAGAAATCTGGACATTTTTCATACCGAAATTCCACCCAGATGCTCTGCCCATTTAGTTTCACCACGATTCCTCTTAACAAGGGGAGTGAAGTATTAAACACTACTTTCAGTTTCATGTGTCTCCTTTCCTTGCTGCCTCCCGTTGGGATGATAATATCCTCCACATCTTCGAAGCTACTACCAATCTTCACTCCTATTTCCTTAGTTAGCCAATGGATTGGCAGATTCCATAGTTGCACCTAGATGTGCGCCAACTGGAATGCTTCCATCCCGCGGTCTATGCCTTCTACCCACGGCTTGACATTGAGAAGTTGGTTGTCAATCATGTATGGTCTTCCATTCAACACCTTCTCCATGTCCGACACATCCGCGAAGGT